CTTTCCAATTTGGATGCCTTTTTATTTCTTTATCTTGTCTGTTTGTTCTGGCTAGGACTTCCAGTACTATGTTGAATAATAGTGGTGAAAGTGGGCATCCTTGTTATGTTCCTGATCTTAGAGGACAGGCTTTCAGTTTTTCTCCATTCAGTATAATACTAGCTATGGGTTTGTCATATATGGCTTTTATTCTGTTGAGGTATGTTCCTTCTATACCCGTGTTTTTGAGGGTTTTTTGTCATAAAGGGATGTTTAATATTATCAAATGCTTTTTCAGCACAATTAAAATGATCATAAGGTTTTTGTTCTTCATTCTGTTGATGTGTCTCATTAATTGATGTGTGTATGTTGAACCATTCTTGCATCACTGGAATAAATTGCACTTGGTCATGATAAATGGTCTTCCATTTTGGTTTTGTTTCCACTTTTAAGGACAGGGGTACATGTGCAGATTTGATATATAGGTTAACTTGTGTCATGGGGGTTTGTTGTACAAATTATTTCATCACCCAGGTATTAAGCCTAGTACCCATTAGGTTTTATTTTTTTTCTGATCTGTTCCTTCCTCCCACCCTCCACCCTCCACCCTCCAATAGGCCCTAGTGTCTGCTGTTTCCTTTTATGAGTCCATGTATTCTCTTCTTTTAGCTGCCACTTAAGTGAGAATGTGTGGTATTTGGTTTTCTGTTGCTGCATTAATTTGCTAGGGATAATGTCTTCTAGCTCCATTCATGTTCCTATAAAGGACATGATCTCATTCTTTTTTTTTTAAGTGACTTTATTTTATTTTAGTTACATAAATTACAAAATATCGCTAAGTGAAAATAAAATCAATAAAAATCATCCATGATACCACCCACTTTAACATTTATGTGTATAGCTTTTTATGCTCTATTTCTTCACTCATATAGATAAATATATTCATCAAAAAGAGGTTATTTCATATATTAGGTTGGTACAAAATTAATTGCGCTTTTTGCCATTGCTTTTAATATATTGTTTTGTAAGCTATTTTTATTTAACAATGTATTATGAATTTATTTCTATGACATTAAATATATTCTCTGTGTGTATGTGTGTCTTGTTTCTTATGACTAAAATTTTTTAAAATTAAGGTGTTATGTTGAGATGGTTGAAGATTCACCTGCCATTTTAATAAATAATACAGAGAGATTCTGTGTGCCCCTTACCAAGTTTCCCTTAATGATAACATCTTGTAAAACTATAGTACGATAAGAAAACCAGGACATTATTGACATTGATGCAGTCAGATACAGAAGATTTTCATCACTACACAGATCCGTGTTGCCCTTTTAAAGCCACATCCACTTGTGTCTCACCCAATCCCTCAACCATTAATCTCTTCCGCTTTGATAATTTTATCATGTCAAGAATGCTATGTGGATGGAATAATACAGTATATCACCTTTTGGGGTTGTCTTTTTTTCCCCACTCAGCATAATTCCCTGGAACTTCATCCAAGTTGTTGTGTGTATCAACAGTTCGATCCTTTTAATTGCTGAGTACTGCTCCATGATACTGATAGGCCACAATTGGCTTAATTATTCAGCTGTTGAAGGACATTTTGGTTGTCACCAGTTTGGGGTTATTACAAACAAGGCTGTATAAATCCTCTTTTACGGGTTTCTTTATGGACATAAGTTTTCATTTCTCTGAGATAAATGCCAAAGGGTCTAGTTGTTTGGTTGCGTAGCAGCTGCATGTTTAGATTTGTAAGAAATTGCCAAAGTGCTTTCCAGTGTGGTCATACTATTTTACATTAAACCCAGCAATATTTCTGTGCATTCTCACCAGCGTTTTGTGTTGTCACTATTTTTATCTTAACTATTTTGAAAGGTGTGTAGTGACATTTTATTGTTTAAATTTGCATTTCCCTAAAGGCTAATAAAATTGAACATTTTATGTGCTTATTTGTCATCTGTATGTGCAATGTCTGTTCATGTCATTTGCTCATTTTCTTTTTTCCTTTTTTATTTTAGAGTATTTAATTGGCAAATAAAAATTGTATATATTCAGTGTATACAACACAATGATTTTGTTTCTTTTTTAAAAAAAATTATTTATTTTTCAATGGGTTTTTGGGGAATAGGTGATGTTTGGTTACGTGAATAAGATATATAGTAGTGACTTAAGAGATATTGGTGCACCCATCACCCAAGCAGTGTACACTGTACCCAATGTGTAGTCTTTTATCCCTCACTCCCCCACCCCTTTCTCTGAGTCTTCAAAGTCCATCGTATCATTCTTATGCCTTTGCGTCCTCATAGCTTAGCTCCCAATTATGAGTGAGAACATACCATGTTTGGTTTTCCATTCCTGAGTTACTTCACTTAGAATAATAGTCTCCAATTCCTTCCAGATTGCTGCAAATGCCATTATTTAGTTCCTTTTTATGGCTGAGTAGTATTCCATGGTGTGTGTGTGTGTGTATATATATCACATTTTCTTTTTTTATTATGCTTTCAGTTCTTGGATGCATGTGCAGAACATGCAGGTTTGTTACCTAGGTATACATGTCCCATGGTGGTTTGCTGCACGCATCAACCCGTCATCTAGGTTTTGGGCTCCACATGCGTTAGGTAATGCTCTCCCTCTCATTTCCCCCGACTCCACAAAAGGCTCCATTGTGTGATGTTCCCCTCCCTGTGTCCATGTGTTCTCATTGTTCAACTCCCACTTATGAGTGAGAACTTGTGATGTTTGGTTTTCTGTTAGTTTGCTGAGAATGATGGTTTCCATCTTCATCCATGTCTCTGCAAAGGACATGAACTCATTCTCTTTTATGGCTACAAAGTATTCCATAGTGTATATGTGCCACATTTTCTTTGTGCACTCTATCACTGATGCCATTTGGGTTGGTTCCAACTCTTTGCTATTGTAAATAGTGCTGCAGTAAACATATGTGTGCATGTGCCTTTATAGTAGAATGATTTATAATCCCTTGGGTATATACCCAGTAATGGGATTGCTGGGTCAAATGGTATTTCTGATTCTAGATCCTTGGGGAATTGTCACACTGTCTTCCACAATGATTGAACTAATTTACCTTCCCACCAATAGTGTAAAAGCGTTCCTATTTCTCCACATCCTCTACAGCATCTGTTGTTTCCTGACTTTTTAATGATTGCCATTTTAACTGGTGTGAGATGTTGTCTCATTGTGGTTTTGATTTGCATTTCTCTAATGACCAGTGATGATGAGCTTTTATTCCTATGGTTGTTGGCCGCATAAATGTCTTCTTTTGAGAAGTTCATATTCTTTGCCCACTTTTTGATGGGGTTGTTTTTTTCTTGTAAATTTGTTTAAGTTCCTTGTAGATTCTGGATATTAGCACTTTGTCAGATGGATAGACTGCAAAATTTTTCTCCCATTCTGTAGGTTGCCTGCTCACTCTGATGACAGTTTCTTTTGCTGTGCAGAAGCTCTTTAGTTTAATTAGATCCCATTTGTCAATTTTGGCTTTTGTTGCCATTGCTTTTGGTGTTTTAGTCATGAAGTCTTTGCCCATGCCTATGTCCTGAATGGTATTGCCTAGGTTTTCTTCTAGGGTTTTTATGGTTTTAGGTCTTACGTTTAAGTTTTTAATCCATCTTAGTTAAGTTTTGTATAAGGTGTAAGGAAGGGGTCCAGATTCCGTTTTCTGCATATGGCTAACCACTTTTCCCACCACCATTTATTAAATAGGGACTCTTTCCCCATTTCTTGTTTTTGTCAGGTTTGTCAAAGGTCAGATGGTTGTAGATGTGTGGTGTTATATCTGAGGCCTCTGTTCTGTTCCATTGGTCTATATATGTGTTTTGGTACCAGTACCATGCTGCTTTGGTTACTGTAGCCTTGTAGTATAGTTTGAAGTCAGGTAGCGTGATGTCTCCAGCTTGGGTTTTTTGTTTGTTTTTGTTTTTGCTTCAGATTGTCTTGGCTATACAAGCTCTTTATTGGTTCCATATGAAATTTAAAGTAGATTTTTTCGAATTCTGTGAAGAAAGGCAATGGTAGCTTGATGGGAATAGCATTGAATCTATAAATTACTTTGGGCAGTATGGCCATTTTCACGATATTGATTCTTCCTATCCATGAGCATGGAATGTTTTTCCATTTGTTGTGTCCTCTCTTATTTCCTTGAGCAGTAGTTTGTAGTTCTCCTCAAAGAAGTCCTTCACGTCCCTTGTAAGTTGTATTCCTAGGTATTTTATTCTCTTTGTAGCAATTGTGAACAGGAGTTCACTCATGATTTGACTGTCTATTACTGGTGTATAGAAATGCTTTTTGCACATTGATTTTGTGTCCTGAGACTTTGCTGAAGTTGCTTATCAGCTTAAGGAGTTTTTGGGAAAGAATGGTAGATCTCATGTAAATTTAAATTTTATATAATCCATGTTTTTAAAATTACATGTAACATGTATCACAAAGAGTTAATGTCTTTAATATACAAATAATTTTTCCAAACAATAAGAAAAAGTCATTACCTTCATAAAAAAATTAAAAACTGTCATGAACAAACAATTAGCAAAATAAGGAAACGGTCAATGGCCATATGGAAAGATACCTTTCAGAAAGGAAATTTGGTAAGAGCTATCAAAATGGGAAATGTGCATACATTTTACTCACCATTTTCATTTTAAAGATTAACCTTAAAGATATAATCTCAGAAGTGGAAGAAGCTATATGCCCAGAAATGTTTGTTTCTGAAGTACTTAGATTAGTAAAAATTTTGGAATATCTTAAATGTCTATCAATAGGAAAATTATATAAATTCTGATAATATATAAAATTTATTACTATTATGTACCCATCACAGTTGTAACTTTACATATAATGAAATTATTTGCTTCTGTATATCTCTCTGTCCATAGATGATGGAGTTCTTGAGATTGAGAATGTCCATGTTTGTCTCTAGCAACGAGCTCATTTCCTAGTAGGCACTCAATACATACTTATTGAACAAACAAATAAACTGTGGTCTCTCTTTATCTTAATAGGCTGGAAGTGATGGAGAGAGTATTGGAAACTGTCCCTTTTGCCAACGCCTTTTCATGATCCTCTGGCTTAAAGGAGTTAAATTTAATGTGACAACGGTTGACATGACCAGGTAAGAGAAATCAGGACATGTTAAATTCTAGGAATTGAGATTGGTACATACCAATAAAATATTGGTGTTTATTTAATGTGTACTTTATCTAGAGACCTAACTCTGCTTATTTTTAATAATCATAGAAAGCCTGAAGAACTGAAGGACTTAGCCCCAGGTACCAATCCTCCATTCCTGGTGTATAACAAGGAGTTGAAAACAGACTTCATTAAAATTGAGGAGTTTCTAGAACAGACCCTGGCTCCTCCAAGGTACAGCACTTACAGGATACTATTTTGCTGAAGATAATCTATTTTACTGGCTTGTTTATTGCAGATTGAGTATTCTTACCAATTTAAGTACTTTTGGATTTCTGGGCCTACATGTCAAATGACACACATGCATAAACATCCCCCTCCAACTTCAAATACAAAAGGATGATATGTATAATATTTCAAATAATGTTTAAAAGCTGCATAACATACATAACACAAGAAGGTAAGTTCTCGGTGGTCTAGAAATAGAGTAGGAACATATAGTAAGATAGGAGTAGGGAGTGGGGTACTAACACTATGTTATGCATAAGGATTGGTCATGACTGGTCCTTAACACCACTGATGAAATGAAAGAACATAACCAACACAAGGGTTAGTGGCCAGGAAATAGACTTCAAGCAGTTAACCAGAGGCCAGAACTGTACTGCCTACACTTGAATGACAACCGCACATCTCTGTCTACCCAGGATAGGTCTAGAAACAAGAAGCATGCTGTATTAATTTTCTATTGCTGTGTAACAAATTACCACAAACTTAGTATCTTAAAATAACATCTATTTATTATCTCACAGCTTCCATTGGTCAGTTGTCTGGGTATGACCTGCTGAGGTCCTCTGCTCAGGGTATCAAAAAGCTGCATTCAAAGTGTTGGTCAGGAACACAGTTATCATTTGGGGCCCAGGTGACTCTTCCATCTTCATTCAAGTTTTTGGCCGAATTCAGTTCCTTGAAGCTATATGACTGAAGTCTTAGGTTATTGGGTAGCTGTTTGTTGGGGTTGGCATTCAGTTACTAGAGGCTACCCCTCTGTATAGGCATTTCACAACATAGCTGATTGTTCTCTTCCTCTAAAACCCACGGGAGAATGTCTCTCTGATGGTTCACCTTCTTTTAAAATGTTTTTATCAGCACAAATTATGGGACACATATGAAATTCTATTATGTGTATGTAATGCATAGTGATAAAGTCAGGGTATCTATGGTGTCCATGACGCAAGTACAATACATTTTTGTAACTATAGTCACCCTACTCTTCTATCAAACATTGAATTCATTCCTTCTATCTTATTTATGTGTGTACTTTTTAACACACTTCTCTTCATCTTCCCTTCTCCTCCCAATCACCTTCTCCAGCCTCTGTTATCTATCTCTCCATTCTCTATCTTCATGTGATCAACTTTTTTAACTCCGACATATAGGTGAGAACATGCTATTTTTTTCTTTTTGTGCCTGGCTTATTTCAGTTGACATAACAATTCCAGTTCCATCCATGTTGTTCCAAATGACAAGATTTCATTCTCTTTTATGGCTGAATGCTATTTCATTGTGTATGTGTGCCACACTTTCTTTATCCATTTATCTGTTGATGGACACTTAGGTTGATTCCATACCTTGTCTATTGTGAATAATGCAACAATAAACATGAGAGTGCAGGTATCCCTTTGACATACTGATTTCTCATGCTTTGGGTAAATGCTAATTAGTGAGATTTTTGGATCTTAGGGTAGTGCTACTTTTGGTTTTTTCAGAAATCTCCATGCTGTTTTCCATAGTGGCTATATTTATATTCCCAAAAACAGTGTATAAGAGTTCCTTTTTCTCCACATCCTTGCCAACGTCTGTTAATTTTTTCGTCTTTTTAATAATAGCGATTCTGACTGAGGTGAGATGATATCTCATTTTGGTTTTGGTTTGCATTTCTCTGTTGATTAGTAAAGTTGAGCATTTCTTTGTGTACATTTTGGCCATGCCCTTTGCCCATATTTTATGAGATTTGTTTTATTGTTGAGTTGTTTGATTTCCTTGTATATTCTGGATATTAGTCCCCTGTTGAATAGTTTGCAAACATTTCCGCTCATTCAAAAGGTTGTCTCTTCACTCATTTCTTTTGCCGGGCAGAAGCTTTTTAGTTTAATTGAGTCCTATTTGTCTATTTTTGTTTCTATTGCATGTGCTTTTGACAATCATAAATTATTTGTCTAGACCAATGTCCAGAAGAGTTTTCCCTAGGTTTTCTCTTTTTATTTTTATAGTTTTGAGTATTATGTTTAAGTCTTCAGTCCATTTTGAGTTGATTTTTGTATATAGTGAGAGATAAGGATCAAGTTTCATTCTTCTGCATATGGCTATCCAATTTTCCCAGTACCATTTATTGAAAAAGGTGTCCGTTCCCCAATGTTCTTGTGAAATTTGTCAAAGATAAGCTGGCATTAAATATGTGAATTTATTGCTAGGTTCTCTATTCTGACCATTGGTCTATGTGTCTGTTTTTATACCAATAACATGCTATTTTGGTTACTATAGCCTTGTAATATATTTCAAAGTCAGGTACTGTGATGCCTCCAGCTTTGTTCTTTTGGCTTAGAATTGCTTTGGCTATATGGAATCTTTTTTGGTTACATGTGAATTTTAGTATTCTTTTTTTCTAATTCTGTGAAAAATGACATTGGTATTTTGACAGGGATTGCATTGAATCTGCAGGTTACTTTGGGAAAATTACAATGTTAACAATATTAATTTTTCTGAACCATGAGCATGAGATGTTTTTCCATATATTTTTCCATTTTCAATTTCTTTCATTAGCATTTTGTAGTTTTCATTGTAAAGATCTTCTACCTCCTTGATTAAAATTATTCCCAGATATTTTAATTTTTAGCTATTGTAAATGGAATTGCCATCTTCATTTCTTTTGTGGGTAGATCATTATTGGTGTATAGATGCTACATGTTTTTTAGTGTTGATGTTTTTAACCTGGAACTTTACTGAATTTACTTATCAAATGTAAGAATTTTTTGATGGAGTTTTTAGGTTTTACCAGATACAAGATAATGGCACCAGTAAAAAGAAACAGTTTTACTTCCTTTTTTCCAATTTGGATGCCTTTTATTTCTTTCTCTTGGCTGATTGCAATACCTAGGACTTCCAATACTATGTTGAATAGGAGTGGTGAAAGTGGGCATCCTTGTTTTTTTCCATTTCTTGGAGGAAAGGCTTTCAACTTTTCCCTATTCAGCATGATATCAGCTGTGGGTTTATCATATATAGCCTTTATTATTTTGACATATTTTCCTTCTATGCCCCATTTGTTGAGAGGTTTTATTATGAAGGGGTATTGAATTTGATCAAATGCTTTTTCTGTATCTATTGAGATGATGATATGTCTTTTGTTCTTTAGTCTATTGATGTCATATATTGAGGTTATTGATTTGCACATGTTGAACCATTCTTGTATCACTGGTATAAATCCCACTTGATCGTGGTGTATTATCTTTCTGATATGCTATTGGATTCAGTTTGCTAGTATTTTGTCGAGAGTTTTTGTATCTATGTTCATCAGAAATATTGGCCTGTAGTTTTCTTCTATGTGTGTGTTCTTGTCTGGTTTTTGTATCAGGATGGTGCTGGCTTCATAGAATGAGTTAAGGAGAGTTCGCTCCTCTTCCATTTTTTAGAATAGTTTCAGGAGAATTGGTATTAGTTCTTCTGGTAGAATTTGTCAGTGAATTCATCCAGTCCTGTGCTTTTCTTCATTTGAGAGACTTTATTACTGACTCAATCTTGCTACTCATTATTGTTCTGTTCATGTTTTCCATTTCTTCTCAATTCAGTCTCAATACATTGTACATTTCCTGGAATTTATCCATTTCCTCTAGGTTTATCAGTTTGTCAGCATACAGTTGTTCATAATGGTCTCTGGTGATCTTTTGTGTTTCTTACATGTATGACTTAATGTGTCATTTTTCATTTCTAATTTGTTTGTTTGGGTCTTCTACTTTTTTGGTTAGTCTAGCTGGCAGTTTATCAATTTAACAAAAACCAACTTTTTGATTCGTGATGCTTTGTAGTTTTTAGTCCGTATTTCATTTAGTTCTGTTCTTTATTACTTCTTTTTTCTGCTAATTTGGTGTTTGGTTTGTTCTTGCTTTTCTAGCAGCTTCACATATATTATTAGATTAATTTGTCATTTCCTACTTTTTTGATGTAGGCATTTATTGCTATAAACTTCCCTCTTAATGCTGCTTTTGCTGTATCCCACAGGTTTACGTATGTTGTGTTTCAATTTTTGTTTGTTTCAAGAATTTTTTTTCTTCTTAAATTCTTTATTGGTCACTGGTTGTTCAGGAGCATGTTGGTTAATTTTTATGTATTTATGCAGTTTCTAAAGTTCCTCTTGGTGTTTATTTATAGTTGATTTCATTGTGGCCCTAGAATATCCTTGCTATGATTTTGATTTTGTTAAATTTATTGAGACATTTTGTGGACTAACATGTGGTCCATCCTGGAGAATATTCCATGTGCTGATGAATGTATATTCTTTAGTTGTTGGATAGAGTGTTCTGTAAATGTCTTTTTCATTCATTTGGTCTAAAGTCCAGTTTAAGTCTAATGTTTATTAGCTGATTTTCTGTCTAGATTATCTATCTAATGGTGACAGTGGGATGTTAAAGTTTCTGCCTATTATTGCAGTGCAGTCTGTCTCTACCTTTAGATCTAGTAATGCTTGCTTTATGAATCTGGATGCTCCAGTATTGGGTGCATATATATTTAGGATTGTTATATCTTTTTTGCTGGGTTGATCTCTTTGTCATTATATAATGATAGTCTTAGTCCTTGTTTCCACTTTTTTTTATTTAATGTCTGTTTTACCTTATATGATTATAGCTAATCCTGCTCACTTTTGGTTTCCATTTGTGTGAAATATCTTTATCAACCCCTTTCAGTCTGTATGTGTCTTTACTAGTGAGGTGAGTCTCTTGTAAGTAATATGCAGTTGGATTATGTTTTTTAAGTTTAGTCATCCAGTGTATGTCTTTTAAGTGGAATATTTAATCTGTTTATGTTTATATGTGAAGACTTATTTCTGTCATTTTGTCATTTTTTTCTGATTGCTTTGTATATTCTTTTTTTTTTTCTTTCTCTCTTATCATTTATCATTACAGTTTGGTGGTTTTGTGTACTGGTAACATTTGAGTCCTTTATTTTCTTTATATCCAGGC